GAGGCCAGAGTGTCGAAACTACTCAGAGGCGTTCCTGTCATCCAAGAAAGTGATCCATTAAAATTAAAATGCAATGAATTTTCCCAGGCCCTCCCAGCGTTTGTGTTTTTTTCCTTCCCTCGAGAATGTCTGCAGGACTAGAAACGGTGTAAAAATAACACACACTGGTTGAATGCAATTTTCCAACTCCAAAGCAAACCCTGTGTAAAGATGAGCTGACAAAGTAATTTCTGCTAGGTGCAGATATGCTGTCTAGGGCGCCTACAAGTGCGAAAAAGGTGGCCTTTTGTCATTAATATGAGTGAATTCAACGGAGCAAAATTAGTCAATTAACATTCATGAAAAATTCTGTTTTGAACATGTCCTGAACCGTTATTGGCATTACATGTTGAACAATGGTAATTGCGTAAGCTGTTTATCTCAGTGACAGCAGCGGAAATGCTGATCAAATCACATGAAAATAACCGCATTTTGGTGCAACCATTTTCGCCAGCGTAACAGGATGCTCCGTTACCTGTTACGGCTTCAGCAACGCGTTTCTCCACCGCCGCGACTCGTTTCTCAAAAGTTTCTGACGCGCGCTCAATCACAGCACGAAGGTGAAGGTACTCTTGCGCCCTATGGACGGCAGATCGGAACCCATTGCTGTCGGCATTGGCGGCGGCGGATGTGAGCTCCTCCTCGGCACGCGAGGACTCTTCCCTAAATGCCTCCACTTTAGACGTTGCCTGAGGACCTGAGCCTGGCGCCGTCAGAAATTGATTCCGGTAAATTTTGATAATAACCTCAAGTTGCCGACGCACATGCAACATGCGTGGCTGAGGCTATGGAAGCAGCGTATGAACAATTTTTCGATGTTTTACGGTAGATACCGTATCCGATATAGGACCGAATCATGAAGGCTGTTTGGGCACGTAGCGTTGACGTACCCACCAAGGCGCGACGCCTCCCTCGCAGCTTCCTCGATGCGCATTTTGTCCCTCGACGCGATGGCCTTGTCCAAATGCCTTAAGGCGTCCCTTGCTGACATCATGTTTTTAACTCTTTTCCTGGCGTTGGCGGCACGTGCGTATGCTTGCATCAGCGTAACAGCCTCGATTCTGCCCCGCAGCAACAAATCAGACTCTGCGCCGCCAAAGTCGGTGAGAAGCTCACTCTGAGGGACTCCCTCAGGTAATACCACGGAATTTGCCACAAAAGGCATTTTGCAGCCGACACTCTGAACGTCTTTGTAACAGAAACCGACGCGGTACAATTAGGCACTCAATGTTCATGAATTGTTTAAAGGTCCAACAGTGAAATTAACTGTATGGACATGCATTTAAGACCACCTGACTGCATGAAAGCTCAACATTGTGTGCACGCACTCTATACGCACACATGTCAAATGCAGGCGTTCTTGCATCGGCTCAAACAATTTAAAGCTGACACCACGCATAGATGCTCTTGTTTCCGCAGAACCACAAATTCGCTGAAGGTGTATATGCCTCCAAGTCCATTCAGGCGAGCCAAATCCCGCCAGGCATCTTCAACGAGCGGCTGTGAGCTCAACCTTCGGCGTCGATGGGCGCCAGAGCGGTAGCGCCTCCACACTTTGGCAATCTTCTTGCACGCCGCCTCTCTGACAAATTCCTGATTAACAATTTCCTGGAGTTTGACGAGGCGTACGTCTCGCTCCCTTCGTCGGTACATGGCATCCTTTTCCTGCAGCAGGAATGCGATAAAGCTCTTTTCTAGCTCCTTTGCGCGGCAACATGCGCATCAATTCAGGACATCCAAATTCACGCACCCTTGAGCTTAAACGCACAGGCAACATACCCTGTTGCTTGCAATGTTGAAGAGAGAGTGCAGCATCATGGTTGATTGAAATTGCGCCTGCTCTCCAGAGGGCCGATGGTCCTTGCCTGCTGCAGAAGCAAATCTTTCCACTCAGCCGCCTCTGGTTCGTTTTGTTTTTGCTGCACAAACTCCGAGATGTCATGTCCCTCTCGCGACCCATCCTCTTCATCTGCCTGTTGAAATCCAAGCGAACGGGCTGCGCTCATACTGATGGAAACTTGGTTCAAGTCCATTTCGCCATCCTCACTTTCGTCGCTCGCTGCGAAGGGCGTCGCGGCAATGTCTCTGTGTGCCTCTCCCTCCAACTCTGACCCTATTTCTGATCCTATTGCAGGGACTTCCGCGCTATCCATCGGATCGAAGCGTTCAGGCATCGGGGCCCCACCGGCCTGCATCACGTGGATGGGCCCCTCCCCGACACAGTGAGGACGTTGGAGCGAGGGACATGAGTCTACAATAACATCGCCAAAACAGTCATTGACCTCAGCCGCCCCTTCAACAGCGCCGCTCTCTGGCGGGGGAATAGGAGCAGCACCGCCCTCCGCCAGTTCATCGCCAGGTTGCCCCACAATGGCACCCCGCTTGTGGGGGGCACCGCCACAGATGACACTGAGATCATTGGCGAGGCTGATGCCAGTTATTGGACATGTGCCTGCTTTTTGCCGCGCACGTCCGTCGTTGGCGCACGCAGCATCCCAGGGGTGCATCTCTTCAGCAGACGTCGTGGCACTGGCTTTTGGCGTTCCCAGGCCGTGCTGCGGCTTCAAATGCCCAAAGGGGGGACACGCATCCGGGCTGTCTACATGCCGCGCCCAGTTCTCCTTCCCCCAGTGTGCCTCTTCCGCCATATTGAATGGAAGAGCCGTGCGCCGACCCTCTCCAGTTGCATCGAGCCCATCCCCTCCGAGGGCATCCCCATGAGCGCATTCACCCTCGCGTGTGCATCTTTCCCTGAAAAATGGCACTGCATTTGGCGGGCTTAGCTTTCCGGGCTGATCACCCAACGGCTCGCATATTTGCAGACCACCCCGCCGGCCGGCATCCCACTCAGGCAGATGGGAGCACGTTTGATGATTTTTTGCTTCCTTTTGTGCGCGCTCCGACTGGAGCACACTCGCCAAGCTGGCCGCCTGACCCAAGGTCGACACCATGTCTTTCTCGAAGGCGGTGAGCCTCGCCTCCCCGTTGAGGATGGCAGCCCTCAGGGCCCCGAACGACGGAGACACGTCGGAATCGCACGATTCTCCTGTGCGGCAGAAAAGGAGCCCCTTCAGTATGCACAGGCATCACTGCGAAACCCTCAGCAACGCGCATGGGCAATTGAATAATTTGAGTTGGGCAGTGCTTGCATTACAAGCGTGTTGCTCATTCTTGCAAAGCGAACAAAAGCACCTATTACGAATGTACACACAGGCTTTGAAATGTCTAGAGAACAGGTGGGTGCGGCAGATTTCAGCATCGCCTCGAGCACCCTGCGGCTGAGGCTGAGAAGCCCAAAATTCTCAGGATCTCACTGCTCCCGCCTAAAATGGCCCCACCTAATGGAGCCCGTCCCCTTAGCCCTCGGCGTTTGCCCAGAGAGTACTGGTTCCCGATTTGTGGGCCCGGCCTTTCCAAATTTGGTATTGTATTCAACGTTTGGCATTGCTTTGGCATCTGTAAAGGTGTTTGGCGAGCTAGTTTTTTCATGAGGTGACATTTAACTCGACAGAGGACTACACCTCGAAGCATGTGTTCACAAGAACTCGTGGCCAAGCCGCAAACCTTCCACGCTGCTGTGGTCACTTGCTGAGGGGAATTTGATGCAGATAACGTAAATCGAGTTGCGGACGGCGAGCGGGCACCAGTCAGCGGATTGTATGCTTGGAGTTTCCGTGAACCTCTATGCGGTGCATGTTGCAACCGTCATTGCTCTGGCTCGAGGCCAAATAGGAGGAACAATGGAGGAAACGCCAGAACCTTGCTGTTGATAGGGTCCCAGCAGGCGGCACAGCCGGAGCTTGGACATTGCGGCAAATGGAAGTGCCAGCTGACGTGGCCGGTCCAGTCGTTCCCTGCCAAACTATGCGCGAACTTCCGCACCTCAAGTCACCAACAAGCACATGTGTTGAGACCAGCACCACGGCGACAGGCGCTGCCCGGGGCGCGAACTGTCGGGCCTTTCCCGGCGGTCCCGGCACGGCCACGTTCAATGCAGTGGTCACAAAAGCGGGCCGCTGATCGTCGCGAATGTGCACCAATCGCTGCCGTCGGCCGGTCAGGTTAGCCACTGGGCAAGTCCGGCCCTGGACCAACCCGCTAGCAAAGCCGACAATTCGGGCCCACCTCTACTCGCCAGCTCCATTGCCTCCCTTCTCCGAGTCCTCACATGTCCAGAGGATCGACGCCCGTCGGGGTGCGCCCTCCCCTGCTCGGAACCCCAAACGCGGGACAGGCGCGGGGGCGACTTCTCTTTACCGCAGCAACGATTTTGATGGCAGAACCTCGCCGTTTCCCCTTTTTATACCGCCCCCCGCCTTCCCGTCCGCCCCTTTCTTATTCCCTCGTCCCGGCCCATGACGACTGCAAAGCACAGGGGCCCACGGGGCACGCGCACCGAAGTTGGCACCTGAGCGGTACTTCCGCCTGCGGCCTCGCGCCCGCGCCGCGCCCGGCCCTTCCGCCTCGCCGGCGGGCCCTTCACGCACCCCCCCACCCGCCGCCGCTGCCCATCGGCAAACGAGCTTTCAATCAAGGCATCCCCCTTCATCCCCCACCGGCCCTCCCAGGCACCGCCGTGCGGGCCCAAGGTGCGGGAGACGGCATCAACGGCGCGCGACGCGTCGCCCGCACGGTGGCGGATTCCGATCCGACGGAGCGGCCCGCCGGTGCGTCGCCTCGGCGAGGATGAGCCGAAGCTCGATGGACCACAGCCCCGCCGCGCGGTCCTCCCTCATGGCGTCGTACCAGGTGGGCGCCGCGCCGCCCCCGTTTCGATGCCATCGACCCCGTCGCCGAGCTGCCGTGAAGCCGGGCGCCTTGGTCCTTCAGCCCTGGCTTCCATCCCCGATCGCCCGCCGCAGTCCATGCCATGCCAGCCCATCCTCCGCACGGCGGGCATGCACGCTTGCGGTCTCGATCGCGGTGGCTGATTTCGGCCCTGGCGATTGTGATTGTTCCGCATGGCGCCTGTGTTCGTTTTCCAGGGTAGCGGCGGGTCGGCCGTGCTGCAGGACGTGCCCTTGATCGACGACCCGCTGTCTTCGGCGACCTGGAGCCAGGGGGCCTCGGGGGAGGAGGGCGAGCGCGGCTTAGGCATGCCGTTCCCTGTGCGCGCCGCGACGGGCTCTGGCGACCAGTCGGGCGGGCTGGGCCCCCTGGAGGCCCCCGGGGGCGCCGGCGGCCATGAGGGGCTGGACCTGGAGCCGGGGCTCAGCGCGGAGAGCTCCAAAGAGTCCTGGGTAGTGATGGCGCTGCAGAGGCGGGAGTCCGTTCCCAGCAGCCCCTCGCCCACTGGGGAGTTCAGCGAGACGGAGAGGCGCGCCGCTTGGGTGGTGGTACAAAAGGGACCCATAGAGATGGGGCCGGTTTCTCCGCCTTCCAAGGCGGAGGGGGGGAATGGGAAGACGCCCGTTTGCGAGGTCGCCAACCCCGCTGCCACCACGGCACAGGAGCTCGACGTTTCTAAAACCGCCACCTGTGAGAAGGCGGGGGCTGCTGGGTCCAGCCCACGCGCGCCATCGCCAGCCAAGTCCGCATCAAAAGGGGAAACTCGACAGGCTGGCACGCTCAAAGGGGAAGCTCCTGCAGGGGATGACAACGACCCTCTTTGTGGAATGAACTTGAGCATTTCGTGGGATGAGCTGCGCTTCGACCGGCCCAGAGTGCTGCTGGGCGAGGGTGCCTTCGGGACGGTGTTCAGGGGGCAGTACGGCGGCAGGCCCGTCGCCGTCAAGAAGTTCTCCCCCAGCTCTGGCCAGGTGGCCAACACAGACACGATGGCGAACGAGCTGAGGATCCTGGGGGCGGCGGGCCCGCACGAGAACCTGGTACACTGCTATGGGGGATGCCTGGAGGGGCCCAATGTCTTCATTGTGGAGGAGCTGATGGACAAGAGCTTGCACGATTTGGTGCACTCCAGCAAGTGGGGGGCCCAGCGACTGCCAGTGCGACAGATTCTGAGGCTGGCGATGGACATCACGGCTGGCCTCTGCCACCTGCACCCAAAGATTATGCACAGGGACCTCAAGCCACAGGTCAGTCTTGCAGCTGGGATGTTCCTTGCCCCACTTTTGTTTGGTTCATTCCACCTCTGATCCCAGGCGCTGTGCCATATGGTGCCTTTTGTGAGGGAGCATACTTGGTGTGCTTTGGTGCGAATGCTTGTTGATGTACAGTGTTTCCATGTGCCCTCTCCATTGGCATGCCCCATTATCAGTGCCTGCGCCTGGCTGCGACCATGGAAACCGCAACAGAGGCGTTGTGTACAATTCCTGGTGATACTTACTCTCAATACTGTGCTGTTGACAGAACATATTGCTGACGAGAGAGGGCCGGGCCAAAGTGGCCGACTTTGGTCTCTCAAGAACGAAAGCAACAACGTATCTCAAAACACGAGACCAGCTCGCTGGGACCATCGCATACATTGCACCTGAGTGCATCAATGGGGGGCACGTGACTCACAAGAGCGACCTGTATTCCCTGGGAATCATTCTCTGGGAGTGCCTTACAGGCTTGATACCCTTCAGCGACTATGACCAGGTGTTCGCCATAATGTTTGGTGTTGCTAACAATGGAGACAGGCCACAATTTCCCGAGGATGTGCACTGTCCCCCTGGATTGAGGGAGCTGATATGCGAGTGCTGGAGCCAAGATCCGCGGGCGAGGCCCAGTTGTGAAGAGGTCATGATCAAGCTGAGAGAGCTTGAACTCAACTTGTTTGGTGACAAGAGGGCATAGGAGCTGCCGCCATCCTTACTCTGGGACTTCCAGGCAGCGCCATACGAAAATTCTTTTGCATGAAGTTGCCTTCAAAAGAAGCTCGTGGCGTGCAGATCTGCAACTTTTTGAGGGTTTTGAAGGTGACAAAGCGATTGGCCGCAATAGATCAGTGTGCTTTCAGATGTTGGGTCCTTCGCACATAGTCACACCCCAGCTACTTTGTAGACTGATTATTGCACTACTCTTCTATCTAGGACGATTCAAGAACACGTTCTTGATCGACTGCTGGTACATTAGGCCGAGGCGTTCACATTCGATCATGAGGAATGGGACACCAACGACACAGAGCAGCCACAAGCAATGCCCTTTGAGCCAGACTGGGTGACTCCACAGGTAGCCAATGGCCTGTGTCCTGTGCCCACATGGGTACCTATGGCTTCACACTGTACCTCTGCTGATGGTTGCATGACGACCCTGTGCTGCGTCAGTGTCAGCATGCCACGGGAGGCTTGAACGAGGGGTTGGGAACAGCGGACGGCTCCCATTTCGTCCTCTTTTGGGCTTGTGAAGCGGTACTTGTACACGTTGTCAAGTGGTTGCGTTTCTGCTGAAGGGACGGACGTGTTGTTCACCACATGTGAGGCAGTGTTGGGGCAGCTGGGTGGTGCTGTTGACATGCTTGTGGACTGGTCAGGTGAGACATGGCGGGTTGGTGGCTGAACGCAGGATATGTGGCGTTCAGCAGCGTGAACGCAGGTTGCCAGGATGTTGCCTTGCCGTGAATGTAGTGCGCAAGATCATCCAGGCGCAGACCTGGTAGAATATGTCGAGTCGTCTGTAGTGGAGGCCACTGGGCAAATTTGTGGTAATAGAAATTGCGGGCACCAAGGGGCGTTTACATTTCCTTGAACGTTTTCGAGATCTCTGAAATCTTTCCCAGACAACAGCTGTTGAGAAGTGCAAGCCCGCCGTTTGCTGCCGGCGGCTTGCGTCTGCCATCTCCCTGCCGAACGTGTGCAACTTCATTAAGAGGCAACACCGCGGCTTAACGAGCGCATGGTACAAGTCTGCCCCAAGTCTTGCTGCTGTGTGCTTCTCGACAGTTGAGGGGCACAAAACGCAGTGCTAGATAGCCCCATGCAGTGCGCATACACATGCACGCGAAGCAGTCGTGCGCCGCAAAGATTTGCTGTGGCGGCCACCGTCGTGCCACGAGGAGGTCCAATTGCGTAGCGACCAGGCGCACCCACTTTGGCACTATTTGAGCCATCTTGAACGGAGGCTTTGTAGCGGCCCCCCTCCGCTACTCTCAATCTGTACCCTTGCACGCACACCGAAAGACAGCCGAGGGCACAGGCATCACCAGCTGGCCGCATGTCGATCTCCATCATCAAACTCAAGCAATGGAACCTACAAAACAGGGTGTTCACCACGGCAATTAACCGAAAGACCTACTTGTCACCCTGCCAAGGGCCACTTTGCCTACAATGCCTTCGCATGAGGGTCCGTCGTGTCACCGAGCAGCCGTTCATTGGGTGGGATACAGCGCGGAGCCGTTTGCATCCTCGCGGCATTGTTGACAGAATTAGTCTGTATGGGGCCGGGCCGCGCCAAAATCTGGGACTGCGGAACGGCGAGTGTTCACAAAGTCCAAAACGCAAATGCAGCTGAGCCCCAAGGCAACAGGAACGCTCAGAGTGACGACCAATATGCACAACTCTGACAGGCCCATGTCAGTGTGCAGCCAGTGGTAGACTTCTCGTAGGCGAATCAGCACACCAGAAAACCACCTGCACAAAACAGAGCCTCGATTCGCGATCGCGTCTCAACGCTGGTCCACACAGGCAACGAGGAACATATCTAAAAGATCGCATTCATCAAGCGTGGCACACCCCAGGCCTTTCACCAGAAAACGATCTGGGGCACAATGAAGGGTTGGTGGACGAGTCAGCGGCAACAGGTTTGAAAGTCGTGGACAGCATTAAGCAAGTCTTAAACATAGGAGCCTGGGCTATTCATGCAGCATTCATTGGACTGTTCGTCAACGCCGAACAGGGAGCCGGCGGTGATTTCTCTTCCGCAAACGCACAAGTTCTACGGTTTGTTGCGGCAATGGCTGTCGCCGACGGTCAGCAAACAACAACTCAGTGGCTGCAAGTGCGGGTAGAAAAGAGGTAGAACGGGAGTACCAAGGCGCCACATCGAAGCGTAGACACATGGCGCACATGCAGACAGCAACAATAGCAAATGCGTCGGGAAAAGCCGCATTAGCCGATCAAATCATTTGCCAATAGAGAGGAAGTACGTCAGGCATGCGGCGCTTCCAAATATGACTATCGCTGGCAACGCAGTCGGGGTGTCAGCATCTCGGCGAGTCACCTCTTCACAGAGCCCAGCCTTCGGCCAACCGGACTGTTTGGGGCTTTGTAGAAAGGCCAGGGGGCTTCCTTTTTCCATCCATCTGTTGCAAACTCATAGAACTGCGCAAAAAATGGGAAAGAACCCCGCTGTCAGTTGGGGACGCAGCTGCTATTCAAGCTGCAACTCAGCGATCAATCTCTGCCTCATTGGATCTTTCAGCAGTAAACTAATCAGGCTGTCCCTTGTAAGAAGACGTCTGCTGTCAGCACGACCAGACTCGGAGAAATTTCGATGGAAAGTACATTTCCAAGCACATTATCAAGTACCCCAATGCACAGAAGGGTGAACAAGCCTCTGCAAGGATGAACATGTCGTTCTGTGCTCTCCAAGCGTTATTGCAGGTGAAAGAGCCATATCAGATGCTGACTGGTAACAGGCGAGAATGGGGCACAAGCAGGCTGCAGTGGAGTCCAAACAAGTAGTATAAGATGGACCATTGTTTGCTGCAATGATGCAATTGTCATGGTGCAACCATGTATTCTAGGCCTTGATTTCGGAATGCGCAATGTGTACAGAGGTGCCCCTTGTGCTTGGATGTTACCAGGTAAACATTGGCACCTGCATGAATTCAAACTCTGAACATGTGTGTATGTGCGTGCGTTTTCGATGACTGATCAAAGCCAAGGAAGCGGTGCCACTGAAATGTTGTGTGGATTGTCTGTGGAAAGCGACTTGCTTTCTACTTCAACACCTTGTGTGTAAACGCTCCACCTCGCACATTCAGCCATGCAGCATAGAGATCCAGAGAATGCATGCCCAGAAACGTGTCCAGCAGTGTGTTCAACATAGATACCATGAACTGGGTTTTAGGTTCTAAGCCCAGTCAGTTAGTGTTAAAGCGTCTCTCCACATTTTCCTGTACAGGTTGAGGCCCAGCTTGCCACATCTTCATAGTAAATGCATATCTCACCCCTGCACAATCAATTTTTCCTTCTTTGGTTTGGTGTTACATGCCTATTGTCAGCTGTGCACTGAATGCAATATAAAACTAGCGGCTGGTTTATTTTCTCTTGACCTTTCAGCAGTGTCTATGCCTGTTCATGTCTCTCTGGAACAATATGTGCAAGTGGGACAACAGCTGCACAGAGGCTTGTTCAGTGGATGTATAGCCCCCCCGCTGGTCCATGCCCTCACCATTTCCTCACTCCTGTCCCCATCATACTCTCGGCACTCGCCATTTGCCAAGTGGAAGAACATTGGAAACCCCTGCACCTCAAATCGACTCATGAGACCACTCTCCCTGGTGCCATCAATCTGCATGCAGGTGACAGACCAAGAGAGTCAGGCCGATGCTGGCACTATCAGAGTATATATCAACCCCTTCTCACCTCATTTACACTGTTCTTTCTGGTATGCTGATGTACCATGCCACTTAATTTTGTGCTTCTCTAAACAAAATGTAGGCACTGTCAGTTCCATATAACTAGATAGCAAAATGGAATCTCCTTGTCGCTGCCCTCCAAACTCTGGCCCTCCAAACCCTACCTTGCCAACGTTTATACCTTCTTTCTTTAATCTTGTGGCAAGGCCTTGCCACACCTCCTCGACTTTGCGGCAGTGTGAGCACCTGTGGCACGACACAGCGACGTGAACCTTCCAAAAGCACAAGCCGGAACCACAGTCACGAGTTCTCATGGATGTGCAAGCTAAGAGAAAGGCAACTCACAGATTGTTAGTTGACTGGCGTATCAGTTTCCATTCAATAACATCTGTGATTGCCTACCAATTAAGTGTTGGCCCAACCATGCAAGATGCCATCCTCCTCTAGGCCCAAAGCTTGAGTCTAAGAATATTCCAACCAAGTTCCAATCAGCTGCATTGACTTAAATGAGCGAACTCTGGTACCCAGGCAGCAACCCAGGCGCCAGGCCAGACATGCGGCGGCATATGTCATGCATTCAATCTACAGCCAGTGCACCAAGTGACAGCATTTTCGTCGGTTTTCGTCTCAGCAATGTGGACACGCTGTCAACAGAGGAGGACCTCGAAACCAGGCACTCCCAAGAATAAATGCACCCGCCGCAGCAATGCGAGAGCGATGCACTGGCCATAGCGCGGGCGTCTGCTCAGCCCTGATCATCATCGCCAGTATTCTTGCTTCCACAAGGACTCACACTGTTTGGCACCCCAAGAAGCACCGCCAAGACAACCACGTGTCGCCCCAGATCGCCTCAAACGCGCCCTTGGTAGGGAACGCACCAAAAAGCGCCGCTGCCTCCCATCGGGCGCGCAAGCTCCACCCACCATGGCGCGAAAACTTCCACGAACCAGGCCCCTTCGGACGTCTTCTCGTCAAAATTCTCGTCAGTCAAGGCCACGACGTCGCTCTTGGGCCGTCCGCCGCATTCCCGCACCAGAAGAGGGAGGCAGGCGAAGCACAGCAGAGCCCGAAAGGACACGCGGAGCGGCCCCTGAGAGCCGCGCGGCGCTCCCGACAGAGCCGCTACCATCACCCCCGCCGCAGTTGTGGCGGGATCCGACGGGTGAGGAACAGCGTGGGGCCGCCGCGCTGCGATGAAGTCGATCCACAGGCCTTTTCGCGCGGCGCGCGGCGCTGGGACTCCGAGGTCGCGTGGAGCTTTTGTGCGCCTCCGGCACTCGCTGTCCTTAGGGCCTTGTGTCGAGGGTGCGCAGGTGGTGGGTTCGTTCAGGTAAGGTGGTAAACACGGTGTGCGCTATGTCATCCTCATCAAATTTCATCGATCCCCGCGTCTATGGGGGCATCAAGAAAGAAAATGAACAAATACGGCTGTGTTGAAGTTGCCCATCACTGCCCATCATCAGATTGTAGATGGTGCACCTTATGTTATCATCAACTGCACTAAGAGGACACAAACTGCATAAGATGGGCTGCATCGACAAGAAGAGCAATACATAAGGCTACAATCATCAATTCGGCGTGGACCATAACAGCTGCGATGTTTTATGCGCCTTCATCTTCAAAATGACTCGATTCCAGCTCATGAGCAAGTCCCATTATGCATCAGAATGCATCGAAGCATTAAGAGCATGCACGGTTGAGGCATCAGCGAGGTACCAAAATATGGAAGTTGACTACAGCTACATGAGAACCAGTTGCATGGTAGTTGCATGACCATCTTTGCATCAGCCTATCAAGGGCGTGAACATCTGTGCATATACAAGGAACATTCAGGCTGGAATTACAAGGGCCTGTTACAATGACTACCTGTTCGTCCTCTACACACCAAACTACGATATCAGTCAGCGATCAATCCATCACATGAAGCTCCGTTGTCCACCACACCGCTTTGGACTATCAGAAACTACCGTCAGCCGCTACCAATGCACCTGCCAGATTCCATCGATCTCTGGCTCAATGAAAGCACAAGCAAGAAAGTGGAAACCAAGGGCTCCCAGCGAAAGCCACCCATGCGGGCACAGTGCACCGGCAGATGTGCGACAGCTGTTTGTATCTCAAGTGCTGGGCCAACAGCGCTTTGCACGAGAGGTATTGGCCGCCGGTGGAAGTAGGTTGCTCGGACCTTGGGGCCTCACCGTTGGGTGCGCCCTCTCGCAAACGCCCCGGCCCTGACTCATGACCGAAGAACTGCGCAGGCCAGCTCGAAGTGTGTCCAGGCGTTCTCTCGATTTGAGAACCTCGAAGACAATGGTTTTCTTCGTTTGTGTGCATGTGTTTCGCGTCTCCTATGGCTCACAATACCTGTGGATGCAGGGCCTCAGATCAGGACTTTCCAAGCGCTGTGGCAAGAGGCGCACTGCTCTCTTACGTTGAAGGGTGGCAAGTGGTGGTCAAGCTGCAGCTGTGTTGGTGTGTTTCCCTGCCTTTGCCGCTGGCATTTGGGACGGTGGGAGTGGGCGAGGCTCTCTGTGCACTGCTGTAGAGCATGCGGCTCCTCCAATGGAAATGTCTCTGGGTTGTTGTTCCCAATTCCTGGGCTGATGCAATCTTGCCAATTCACGAAAATGCAAGGGTCGAAAAGTAGATCCAAGGCTGACCCACCAGGCAGTACCTTCAGGAGGTTTCCATGCACTGGAATGGAGTGGATTCATTCAATTTGAGTGACTGCTCAACAAGAACACTGCTAGGCAAGAGGCAGCCACCATCACTGTGGAAACGAGCTGGGAGAGAATCTTGAACCAGTAAATGCATCTGCAAAATGAGGGCAATGCCTCCTGCTGTATGAAAGCCAGCCCTGTCCCAGAACTTGTGGCCACTGCATTGCAGTTGGCTGAGTTCATATTGCGACCAGCCTCCCACCATTTATTTGCATGTTTCAGGCTCAGAATGGTATTCGACAATGTTGACATCGTCCAAAACACTACTGTGGCCATAGAATTGGGGTGAAGTTGCGCAAATGCTTCGCAGACATTTGCGACAAGAAGAGCATGCATTCAGCCACACACTGCCCAAGTTGTTGGGATCCGGCTGTTCGACTGCACAGGATGGCCAAGGGAACATGCGAGTGAATGGACACACTCCACAGCCATTCCTTTCGGATTCAGCATAGTGCCCCGTGAGAGGGCCCAATGAGCTCCAGAAGCAGGCACACAGTTGCATCCAGGCCCCAGAAAGCACTTTCTTATCCCCTTGGGTACACCCCTCTGGTACTCGATGACAATTACAACTACGTACCTTGCCTTTGCGGGGTTCGTTATGCAGCACCCATGTGTGAAATGTGTGAGTGTCCACAATATAACATCTGGACCCCAGGAACCACATGGCATATGTCAAAGGGTCCCAAGCAGTGGCCTTAGGAGAAGGCATCTGAAGGTCATTGACCCCCTGACACCTAATGGCCAAACACAATATTGCCAGCATCCTTATGCTGCTGCTGACACGAGGTACATTCGACAAAAGACAGGCAAACAAATAGAGGGCAGCAGAACCTGTCCAGAGCCTCTTGTCCATTCCCCACACACCGCCTGCAGGGGGGCACCGTTGGACGTCATGAGCATGCACATGCTTGCATGCAACCATTGCATTCAAATGCACCGTGATCAAAGCCAACCTGCGCACGTCCCTGCAAAGTTTCCAACCTCTCTCATGCATAACAACGGATGCTCTGCCAGATAAAAAGCAAAATTCGACGCCACACAAGCCCCCATGGTTCAAGCAACAAATCCCTGGCAAGCCTTACCTCTGCCCTGCCCAAGTCCCAATTCGCAAGGCCGCCCTGCCTTGCCTGCAACAATCAAATGCCACATCCCCCTCCCACCGACGGAGCTCTGTGCTTCCCGCTGGTGCACGTCAAGTACACCATGGCCAGCGCCCCCAGCCCCACGTGGCCCCACAGGTCGGCCACGCACCTCCTCCCCCTCAGCACTTTCTCGTCCAGGTCCTCCCCCCGCCGCCTGCAACCCCACAGCCTCTCCACGATGCAGGCCACCACCCGCCGTACCAGCAAGAACGGCCACGGCGCGTACACCCGCGCCAGCCCGGCGACAATCCCGCACAGGTGGCCCCGCATGCTGGCTGCCGGGAATAAGACCTGCGACAGAATAAGGTTGGCCCAGCACAGGAACTTAGGCGAGATGAGGCCCGCGCCCGGATCCGGTCCCTCCTCGTCCTCCAGGTAGCCGGCCAGGATGTTGAGCGCGAAGCATGTGGACGAGAAGCCCACGCTGCAGGTGGACCTGTACGTGGCCGACCGGCCCAGCCAACGGTGCTCCGCCCACGCAGACGCCACGTGGATTCCCTGCGACAGCAGCGTGAGGGACACCACGTCTAGCAGCAGCGCCCGCGGGCCAACCAGCGCCTCCACCCGCGACCCGCCGTCCAGTACGGACCGCATGTTGGACGTCAGGTGGGCCAGGTCCAGGTGCACCAGCGCGCTTGTCACCAGCCTGCCAAACTCCCGCCGCTCGACCACCCGGGACGGCGCCAGGCACACGGCCCCCGACGGGATGCCGCCTGGGGCGAGGAACACGGCCGCGTTGGCGGCGATGATCGCCGCAGTGCCCGACGGGAGGGCCGGCCGGCCGTCGGGCCGGCGCCGGGCGGCCTCGCCGACCGACTGGGCGAAGAGGGCCAGGGAGAGCCCCAGTAGGGGTGAAGTGAGCCTCGTGGGCTGCGGCAGGCGGCGGTTCAGCTTGTCATCTTGATCAACAGCGGCGTCGGAATTGAGCTTGGGGCGCTTGCGCTGGGCCTTGGCACCAGGGCTCTCCGCGCCGCCCCTCATGGCGCCCAGTGCGCCGGGCAGCCAGTCCGCAACCCAAGACCTCCCGTTGAAGCGCACCCTGTGCGGATCCCGATCCATCGACCCCGGTCAGCCGGCGATGCCGGGGCAGGACGCCAGTCGGTGGCCAAGGGCGGTCTCGCGGGGCGCCGTGATGTCGAGGGGCTCCTGCGCCTATGATCGGAGAGACTGCCTCCAGCAGCGCTGCCGCTGCGTGGAGAAGGTGGAGCCTCCACCGCCGCTCCCGGTTTCGCCTGTTTGTTGCGCCGCGGCCGCGGGAAGACGCCCGCCCTGGGCGCCCCCGCCCTGCCGCCTGGCCAGTGCCCCCTTGGACGATTACGAGATCGATTCTTGGTAGATTGGATGGAAAAGCGAATCAGGACCGAAAGACGACGGTTTCGGCGATTTTGCGTCGTTTCTCGACACAAATTTCAATTCAACGGAATTGCATTCTGGATCGACTTCTTGCCCTATCTCATCCAGGCCTTAGGCGCACACAGCCTCCCCCTTCTTTCTCGATTCATCAGCAAAGCGCGGCCGCCATCAAACAACCTGCCTTTACTACTCTCTTTTCTATGGTCGCGCCTCTCTTGTTGGGAGTGTATTTCGTGAGCAACTTGCTCAAAGTTCTCGGGCTGTTTGCACACGGATCAGGAAGAGACGAGCCATCAGCAGTTCGATAGTTAAGATAAAGATCGTCCACATGGATTTTCGCCGCTTGCGCACCGTTTGGCCGTGTGAGCAACTGGAGTGTGTGGGATGTGTGGTTGATCGGTTGGTTCTGCAGCCACATCTTGATTTTACACTGCACAAATGATGGGCACTGATGTTCTGGGGCGAAATTGGGAGCTACCTCCTTGCCCTAGAGTGTAAGATATCTTGGTGAAGCCGCGTATCACTCCCATTATCCCCCTCTCGTCTCCCATGTGTGTTTTTTTTTTAATTCCAATGAATTCCCATGTTTGTACAGGTGGATGCATGGATGCCGCAAAGGCGCATCAACCCTGGAGGTAAGCCTTGGGAAGGCCAAAGTGCAATCGATCGTTGCGCCATCTGTACGAGGCGCGCCCAAACCCAACTATGTCACACGTTGGGGGGGGCGTCCCGCTGCGCGGTCCACAGCCTGCCGGTGGCCAAGCCCACGGCAATTTTGCAGCCTCCCACTGAGGCTGCCAAAGGTGCCCCTTGAACTCCCCAGCGGCAGTGTTGTTGACCAGGGTGGCAGGGCTTCCGGCGGGCCATGCCGTGCGGGCATGGTATGGCTCCTCTTGTGGCTTCGAGAGCTGACAGGTGTGCAAAAGCAGTGGAGATTCAAGCGTGGAGGCCACGGCACGCGCCAGCGAAGGGGTGGCAAGGTGCCATGATTTCTGAGATCGCGCTTTGAGGGGGTGGCTTCGTGAGATGACAAGGTGTGGTGTGTTGGCCGCACGCAGGCTGCGTGTGCGGGCACAGAACAATTGCGCCATCAAGACGTCCATAGTCGGAACGACGGTCTTCGATCATGGAGGTAGGGGCCCATAGGCAATGCCACGGCCTTGCCATTTCCCATGGAGGCTTTGAGGCCATAATTCGAGACTCGTCGTTTGGTTGTGCACTTGTGCCAAGCTCACGAGCCTCCCATGCTCCCAAAATTGCGTTTCATTGCCAGACACGGCGGGCCACGCAATGGTATGTGTGGCACACAAGCGCCCTGGGTGCCGCCACACGCTTTGGTACGGATGTGGCTCTGTGAGGGAAAGGGCAGTTGCGTCCAATGACACAGTATAAAGTGCAGTTCCTTGTTAGGAGCACAGCTCCTGCGTGCACACAAGCAAGCTGTGGTTTGGCTGCAGATCTATAGTGCAGTGAACGGCTGTGAATTGGGACCGTAACGCTGAGCTTTTCCGCTACTCTCCATCTGGGTCGCATTCCACCAGGAACGTTACTATCACATCTGTTTGGACTGCACACACATTGGCTTCAAAAGCTGGGGTGTAGGAATGCTTGCTGGGATCCTTTCATCGCCCTGCCCGCGAAGAGTCACAATCTCAACGACTACAAATGAAGTAGGCAACACATGCAACGAGAAAGGAATGATCTTCTGAATATGCCATCAAATTTTGCCCACTATCCTTGACAGGAGGACGAAAATTGATGCCCCTGCTCCACCCCATCAAGGAAAGGCTGCCTTTTGGCATTGCTTTGGAGCTGTGGGACGCAGGTGCCGATTCTCCACCGTCGAGTGCACTGCTGAGCGGAAACTGCAGGGCGTCAGACTTGTTTGAGGTGGACTATGTGCTGCATGGGCAAGGCCAGGTATGGGCGCCTCTGATCATCAGCACAGTGCACCCCTGCATTCATGATGGGCTGACGAATCTTGTCCTTAAAACAGGCAACAAAGGGTGATTTGACAAACTCTGCATTGGCTTGTATTGCATGCTGATTGTTGGCTTTTTGGTTGGCATAATGGCTCAAGGTGAGGGTGGCTTTGATTGCACAATCAGCTGCACCGTTGATTGCCTTACCACTTTGACTGATCACGAGCTCACCACACAATAGGGATGCCATCTCCAGATGAATGTTTGCATCCATGCATCTCGCACTGCGGTTCAGCGTGGTGTCCACAGCCACAACACCATGACCATGCAGTGTGGATGTCTGTGTCTGAGATTGCAAATGATGTTCCACATCCCTGTTAGTTCTGTTCAGCACTGCAAGCCGCAGTACTTGCATTCAATGCCTGCAATTTCTGAAGCCAGTGTTTGCATGTGCAACTCAGCTGATGTGCCCCAGTGGCAATATCATGCCCCTCAATGCTGGTGATAGTGTTATTTTGCCCTACGCCCAGGCATGGTGTGAAGCCACAGACCAGACAGGTACTTGTTCAGTGTCCTGTGACATGCTTATTCGCCCTGACCTCGACAGCTGAACACATCTCGGCAGTTGCAACATTTGATGTATCGGAACTATGCAAATTGAAAACTCTTTTGGACAATAGCTTGTCCGCATCGCAAGCGACCTCCATTGCTTTGCCTGTGTCCACGTAAGTTTTGCAAAACATATGGCAAGACATGTGAAGAGAGGGGATGCTGCTGTTGTGCCATTGTGTTCATCATATGCATGGTTGGCTTTTCTTCCACATGCATCACTCTCTGCTGTTTTCACCCAAATGCCACTACATGCCACCATATGCAGTTCGAATCACAATTTCGGCTCTTGTTCTCCAACGACGTTCTCATTTTCTGCTGGCAAAAATATTGACTGAAGTAGATGCCCTTGCTTTCTACTTCCTCCGTCCCAGATTAATTGTCGTCTATGATTTTGGGGCATTATTTCTCCGTCATGCTCGCACCTGTTTTTAATAAAATTTCACCTACAGTTGTCTTTTTGAGTTGGGAGTACACCATAAAGATTTCAAGTCAATCCACTAAGTATTTGGCAGTACTTTGTATCAAGGGTCTTTGTACATAATAAATCTCAATATTTGGGGTCGAAAATGACCAAAATTTACCTTCTCCTTGCGCTCAAAAGGGTCATGTCTCACTTTTCCTTCTTGAAAATTGATAGTCAAGGTTTTTGAGATACAATCTTTTCGATTTTGACCTTGTTTTGAAATTCTGAGGCTGTCCTTATAACAAATTTAGCCTTTCAAACAGACGACAAATAATTTGGGACGGAGGAAGTACATGACTTCATGCTGTGCACATATTAACAAGAAGAAGTTGGAGAAAGAAAGAACCTCTAAAACTTTCAATCGTAAGCACTGCGCACTGGTGCTGCTGTTTTCGGTTGCGAGGTGTGACAGATAGGTTCGTGTTGCTGGTGCACTTTTCATTACTTGTTGCTTTGGTAAATTTTGTGAATAGAAGATGGAGCAGCAGGAAAATTAACCAGTGCCTGCTTTGAAGCTACTGTGGTGGTGGAAGAATTGCCTGAGAGTGTTGAGACCCCTGCAACTAACAGTGTGGACCTCTGCGCAGAGTAAAGCTGTTGAATTACAGCACAACGTTACTGCGAACAGCTAATTGTTAGCTGTTGTGCAGGTCAGGGCCTGGCTGCCAAGGCAGGAGCATCCAGCCTGTTGGCCTGGCAGATGGTCGTGCTGAGGCTCCTCCTTCCCTCCAGCCTCCTCCTGTCAGAAGAAGGCCCGCATGACAGCGATGGCATCCCCACCTCTGCGGGCTTTGCTTGCGAAGAGTGGTTTGACAATGGCAGTCGCTCGGGCACGCTGAGTCACCAGGAGGTGGCCAATCTTTTGACGGGCATGCAGGAGCTTGCACGCCATGCTAATGCAACGAAGGGACATGACAGCTCGGTGGGTCCAAGTGGGTTTGATCCCAGGCCGATGGGTAATACATACTCAGATGTCGACAACACCGATCGTACACCAGGACGAGGACGAGCACCTGATGAAGAAAGTGCCGCGGATGAAGGGAGACAGGATTTTAGTGTGGGTGCCTCTTCAAAGGAGCTGGAAGTTGGAAATGTATATCTGAAAGGAGAACAGAAGCATGGGCCTGGTCATTCTCTGGCGTGGAGTTTGCCTCGAGTATTGGAGGATTTGGTGAGTGAGCTGACGTCCTTATGGCCCGAACACAACAAAAACAGGGGCCCAGCGCTGTCAGAGGCTGAGGTTGTGGTATCTCGCAATGACATACCGCACGTGTCCAAGAAGAGCCTAAAGGACCTGCGTGCCTTCCAACTCCCAAACCAGACCAACCGCCTCGCTCTCGTGTTTGACCCGACAGAAGATGACGTCCCGTTCACCTTTGGCCTGGAGATATTTGAGCCCAGCCACCGCACCAACCCCCACACCCATGACAACGCCCACGAGCTCTTTTTCATACTCAGCGGGGAAGGTCAGGCGTTCTGCAATGGGCACCACTTTGCGGTGGGCGCAGGCGACACGGTGGTCTTCCCGCCGACCACTGTGCACGGCATTGACAACGGACCTTTCTCGAAGATGTACTGCCTGGAGATGATGCTGCCGAACGAGATGTTTGCTGAGTTCGTCAAGAGGGGCATGCCGACAGGGGGCCTCAACAACGACGACATGTGCACCCTGGTGGCCGTGGGCTGCAGCTCAGTGTGAGCTTGTCAGCCTTTCGATCGCTTTGCCAGAGAATGCCAAAGCCCTGCTGCTTGCATCGCCAAGGGGATGATAGGCTTGGCAGCATGAGTGGTCGTTGGTGCCCGTTCCGCATGATGGCATTGGCACATGCTGTTGTGTGTGGACATATGATTCGGGCCCCACCACAGGCTGGCCGCCGTTGCTGTTGGCAGGAGATTTTTGTGAAGTGCGCAGGGGCGCACACACACCCAACGGACGAAAAAGAAACTGCAAAAACACTGCAGAGTTGCCCTTAGAATTTTGCTTTGTACAATTTCCCTGGTATATTCATCTATGTGAACGTAACGTACGCAGGCGCCTGCAAGGCGATGCACAGAGTGTTGGGCTCTAATTCAGAAATGTTTTGTAAATTGCAACTTGCCAGGCACGTGGCCTGCTCCGTGGTGTGAAGTGTGCACCTGAACACTCGTAGGGCCATGCCTTTCGTAGGTCTTCCGGTCTCCTGCTCGAAGTCATGTGCTCAGGTATGGCCAGGAGATTCGTGTGACGGTGCTGCGTGTGCTGCACAATGACCCAAACGCGCGATCCCCCTTCCTGTCAAGGGCGATGCTGCGCAAGCCATCCTCATGCAGCCTCGAAAGTCACCGCCAACTTTTTGTTGTCCGCAGACTTCGTTCGGAGCGATTGACTCGGGGCGCAGGCTTGCTGACGTGCGCAAACTCCACTGGTTAGCAGCTTAATCGCTTGAAATGTACCCGTAATGTGCTAATAGGTCGCTGGCTGGTTCGCCACCGGGGAAGCGGTTCCGGTGGAGGCGGTCTGGGAACGAGCTGGAGGCAACGGAGCTGAAGATAGATCCCAAACAGCGATCTCCCTTTTCGACCACGCCAACCATGCAGTCCGTGTGCCATGACTCTGTCACAAGCACATGCCTGTGCACATCTCCGCATTTCGCGTTTTTGAGTTTTCAAACTCGGACGTCCCCTCGGGCGGTTTTTTTTGGCGGGAGACGTCTCACCCGGGCTTTGGCCACGCCGGGCCAAAGCGGCCCTTCCGGGCCAGGGCGGGCCTCAGCTCGACCGCACGCGCCCCGGCAGCGTCACCCACCTCCGTCAAGGGCGCGGCGCACACCCTGCAGTCGCCATCGTCGCTGCTCGGTTGACACTGGCCAGCCAGTGCTGATCCAAATGTCGTGGGAGAGATGCGCCCCGAAGCTCGGAGACACCGCCTCTCTGTAAGCGCCCTTCGTGGCTGTTCCCCACGGCCGTTTGCTGCCTTTGCGCTTGGTATTGCAGACCGGCGCTGGGTTGTTCATGCTATCCTGAGATCGATAGTCGATTCGGGGACGGCGGCCTCGTCTTGCGCTCGTCGGTTGGGGCCTGTGCATCCCCGCTTGCGTCCGGAAGCGGGGCCTCGTTCTTTTCAGCCTGGGCTTGGAGCATGATGCTCTTGGAGGCCGAAGCTCACGAACGCCGTAGGATGCGGGGTCAGATTGAAACTTGACGCGAGTTGGGCAACGATCAAAATGAAGAGGGGGCTGTCCATCGCCGCAACGGCAGGACGGCTCCACTCCGTCATTGACCTCCAAAGTTGTCGACACTTGCCGCCTCCCACGCCCCTTGTTTTTGGCCTATCGTCCTGCCATGATCATGGAGCAGGGCATGACAAACAGAAATGCGGCGGATGTGCCAGCCGCTATCGGACGAGCGTCAGGAATGGCGCCAGTAGCCCTTGTGTGCCACATGCTGTCGTCCGATATTGTGTGGAACTTCGCTCGCTTGCGCTCTACCTCTCCCTCCCATTGCGCACGGAACCTTCCTCACAATATTTCAATTGGGGGCAAGTGTCTAAAACACAGTGTTCATGCTGGGAATGGTTATCCCAAGCCGTGCTTCTTCCCTTTGCAGCGATCGTTTCACCTCTAACCCACCTCGCCCATACGCTGGCACCCATCGTTTTGTCATAGTCAGGAGGCTCTCGTTTGAACAATGGTACTATTCTGAGGAGATAAGCCATTCTTCAATTGCATCTGCCTTGTGTAAAACAATGTGCCTGTCCCGATGAAGGGAATCCCTTGAGTGCTTGCAGTCGTTCCGTGTACAAAACAAGGCAGTTATGAGGATATGAATGGCAGATACTGACCTCACAGTGTCTCCACTGGCTGGCAACAGATGGAATCACACTGCCGCCCCTGGATGGACACCAGAGGACACCAAGGTGCTGAAATTGGGCCTGATGAAGTTTGGTATGGGCCAGTGGGTAAAGATTCTGGACACAGGGCTCCTGCCTGGCAAGCTGATACAGCAGCTGAATGGCCAGACCCAGAGGATGGTGGGACAGCAGGCGTTGGGTGGTAAGGCATGGGCAACGGGTCCCTTGCAGAGCCATGTGAGGTCCCACAGTGCGACATTGTGGTCTTCGTCCAGAAATTGCTCCTTCTGTGATTGTGCCTGTCACACTGGATCGCCTTCGGGCAGAAAGAACGTTTTGCATCATTGCAGTGGGCCTGTTGTGGTCTGTGGAGTGTGCTTCGGCTGAGGTGATTCTCAGGGTAATCGAGTGTGTTGAGCACTCCAGGCGAACACAGTACCGTCCAGGGTACACTTGCTGTGGCATGGCATCGATGCCTAACGCAAATGTTGTTCCAGACTCTTGCCAGCAATATTTTGCCCCCACCCCTGGCGACGGGCATAACCTGCTGGGCTTGGAGTTGGTGCAGGGATGCTGGTTCGTTTTGTTTTGTGTACATTCATGTTGTTCACTTGGCAGGGGAACAAAATATCCATACCCCTTCACACTCACTGCAACAACTTGCTGTCTGTGCTGCAGCGTTTACGGGGCTCAGGCTAGACCTGGACAAGCTACGAAGGGACAATGAAGCCCGCACCAATGTTACAAGAAAAAATGGGCTGATCATCAACACTGGTGGTATGCCTGCGAGGCGTTGTCACCTTGGCATCCCTGCAAGCGAGCCTGTCTTTGGGAGTCTTTGTCATTGTGCTATGTTTGGCATGAACTCATTCTTTCTGCACAATGTCACTCTCAGGCATTATGAGAACCCTCTTTGCTTTGCTTCTCAGATAAACTCACAAAGAAGGAAAAGGAGCAGCTTCGGCAAGATGCATCCGCCAAGTGAGTTGGCCTCGTTTGCTAAAATTGCGACTCAACTAAGTTTCCATAATGTCTCTGAAGTGTCTGTAATGGGACAACAGGTGTCATGAAATGCTGCAGCTCACAAACGCTGTCATCACCTGCAGGTTCTGTTTTTGGATGTGCAGCTGTGTAGAAGTGGTATTTTCCTAACTTGTCTTGTTGGGTGTTGGCGAACACATGTCTGCCATCCATGGTAGCAGAATTCCCTGTGGTTATAATTGGTGACAGACCAAGGGCAGCATTATGTGCATCAGCCTCTGTACCACATTGTGTGCCACCAATATTCAGCCTGCTATTTTGGTCCTTTTGAGATAAGCAGCCATGCATCGGCTGGGAGAGAATAAAGAAACTAAGGGAAACACAGCTCTGCTCCTGGAGCTTGTCCAGTGCATCTTGTTGCCCAGGTGCTTGACAATGTAAATTCCATGGATAGCGATTGCCAGAGGTAGCGATGGGACACGGTTTGGTAGATAATGAATCCGTACTTGATACCTGTTTTTTCAAAGAACACAATAATCATGCTAACCTGGCAACATGAGTATTGGCAGTGCCTGATGTCCTGACATGGCACAAGCTTGACCCAACATCTTGCAGGCAATGACAGGGGCAGAAAGATGAGCCAACGTTTATTAAATCATTGTTTTTAATTCTGTCACAACAATTGTTGTGCTCAAGCGAATGAGGTGGCTGTTGTGACAGGTATGGATTGTCAGCTGAAGACATTGCCTGGGCAGATGCGGAGCTGAAGAAAATGCAGCAGAAAGGCGCTATGGCAGAGAGCACTATCCCGCTGGAAGGTTTGTTCCTTGGTAGGTTGTGGGTATTTCAGTGCAAGAAGACATATTTTTTCGATATTGTGTGTATTGTCAAGGTTGGTAGGTATTTCGACTGCTGGACAAACAGTGGGTTATCTTCATCAGACAAAGACACTTTGTAATTCTGCTGAACTTGGGAATATGCCAAGTGCCAATATTCACTGAATGGTAATGAATTCTGGCCAGCAACAACTGGTACATGAACACAGGATAGCCATGGAAAGTGATTAAATATGATGCATGTGACTTTTGAACGATATTGATAAATTGATGGAGAATAACGTTGCCCAGTTCAAGTGGCTCACCCGCGGGTGACGCGAACTGTTTGCCCACACCAGATGCACCCACTGAGGATCTTGACAGAACTGGGCGGATCGCCCTGCTTGGGCAGCTCAGGAAGCTTCTGGTTGAAGCGATGGCGGCTGCCGACAGGGACAAGGCTCAAGCTGCTGGGAGGGATGTGGAACCACAGGACGAAGAGATGTGCGAAGCTGGCGATCAAATGGAACAAGTGCAGCCAGATGCTGACCTTGAAGAGAAAGAGAATGAGAAAGAGAATGTTGGCATGACCTCCAAATCAGTCAAGTGCGTTCCCCTCCACCTTAGGAATTGCTGCAATAGTGTTGGAAGTTGATTTGATAATAAGATGAACTATTCTTAATGTATCTCACTGGAACGACCAGTTCCCATTCTTTTTATCATGGTTGCCGTTTCTCTTTCATTGTTTGCAGCAATTTGATATTGGACACCTTTTGGGAAATATTTGTAATTATATTACAGCTTTATGTATTAATATGTTTTCGTATAATAATCAATAATGTCCATTCTGATTGTTATCTTAAACTACCGCTGAATACTAAGGTTTATGCCATTGTATTCATAAAAGTCGATTTCTTTCTTGTTGTGTTTTACCAAAATTTTGCCAAGTGATAGTGGGTTATTAGTAGCATGGTGAGTCATGCTGTTGTGCTGCAGAAATCAGATGGCACAGGATGTTCACGTGGAGCAGTTCAAACAGGTGAACTAGAGGTCGAGCCTACCGTCTGTTAAACAACAATCCATCACGGTACCGTATCTTGTATCGTAAATGTACCGAAGTTTGGGCCTGGAGAGCTGTAGGGAGCGGTAGGGAAGCATGGCCAAACCGCTAAAGTGCAAAAACAACGGAAAACCAAAGAAAATCGCAAAAATGCAAAAAAACACAGTAAAAAGCACAAAAGGCAAAAAAATCAAAGGAAATCGGAAAAAAAGCTAAATCGCATATCTAACGGAAAATACGGTGAAACGGTTAAAAATAACAGTGAGATACGGTAAAAATCGAAACGACGGTACCGTATTTAACCGGCGACGCCAGGTGGCCTGTGCCGACCTCTAAGGTGAATTAAAGTACTGCCTTGATAGCTGGCTCTTCACCAAGTTGACAGCCCCCTGAATGTATCTACAACCGCTGATTGGTTGTTATCGATGCACAAATGGACAAGTTGAAATTCAGAAATTCACCAATGGAGCAATAGGCAATGTCAATTGAAACTGAAAATCGAACCATACATGTACCCATACATACCCATACATCGTGCGAACTAACAGCAAATGTCCTTTAAAAATTTAAAAACTTTAAAATTAAGAATAGCCGTAGCACTGCTGCTCGTGTTCTGAAGCCAAACCACAGGAAAAAAGACATGGCTTCAATGGCAACTGTTGTAAACCAATTGTCAATGCACATGTGAGTGGACGTGTGCGAACTCCTTTTGAATGACAAGTGCATCCCATTACCCGGGCAAAACAGTGCCCACACAAATGGATGGCGATCACAGGCCCCGACTTACAAAATGCTCGATTTCTTCATGTGTTCTTGGACAAGAAAGTGCTTCAACGCAATTGCCAGTTGTCCCTTGCTGCCGCAAGGTAGCGGCAATGGATGCAAGCAAAGGGTAGACACAAGCACACTTCACAGTACTTTGGGATAGAAAAATGAAAAAAATGGATGGACAACAGCACACATCAAACAGCACAACATGGGGTAGTTTTCATTGCCCAGAAGAAGGTTCTCGTGCCTGCGGGCTGCTGGCAAGGGGTTTGGCACATTGAAAGCAATCGCAAACAAGGGCCCTACAGTGTTTCAAACTGTGTCAAGTGCAATGTCAAATGTGGCGAGCAACTTCCTGCCCAACAACAGGCTGTTGGAACATTAAAGCAATGCTGGCATGGATCTCTCTGCACCCCTCATCGGCTGTAACGCGCAAGAAGTTTGTATGTGTTCACCTTTTGGATTAGTGTCATCTACGACTTTCTCTAGCCTCTTGCATTTGGGCTATCTGTCTGTCCTTTTTATTGTGCTCAGAAGGACTTTTTGCCATCTGCAGCTGGACGAGAACCAGATAAATGGACGGCTGTGGCCATTAGCAGAAATCACCATCAGTGGGCAAGGGCCATGCACCAGGAAAAGGCATTCTGATGGCAATGGAGGGTCTGCCTTGAGGTGTGCGAGAGTACTGTGGGGTGGATAGAGATGTGTGAGTTCACACTTGTTGTAATACCGATCAACAGAAACCACTGTTCTTGCAACTGCTAGACAACGCTGGGCCTGCAGGATGCGATGTATCAGCAACATTGATCGGACATTATTGAATAGAAGGAAAGCTGGGAAAGCACTCCATTGTCCTGCTGGTACATGTGCTGCGTTTTCTCCCTGTGGCAAATTTCAAAACTCAGCACAACTGAGCCATGACTGTTTTGCAGTGCACGCACCCCTGCAGTGAGGAAAAAGGCTCGCCAAAGGTCCATATGGTCACCTGATGCACCCTCGGTTGGGTCGGACTCTCTGCAGGTGGGTTGCCACCAGCGTACTGCAAGGTGGCTCGCATAGCCTTCTGCATGGCTTCAATGTTCTCGGGTACCTGCCATCAGCGTGTCATTTTTGGTGGTCAATGTTGGATGCAACTCTCTCAGCATGTACAGAACTGTTGATTGCTGCAAAAGGGTCATGTGCAGGGCAACCTAGTGTGAATAATGGATGTGGAACTCCTTCCATATGGCAATGATCTTGTGGATGCTGCCAGATAAAATCTGGGACGGCTTTGAACCATGGGGATCTGTGTGGCCAAACGCCATTGATACATTCAAACACTGTGTGCAAGTACAAGTGCGAATATTGGGCAAATGCTCTTTGGATGAGTTCAAAAATGCACTGCTGGATGCGTCTGACCACAAAGTGTGGAGAACATGTCGTGCATGCAACGTGTAGGGAATGTATGACGTTACAGAGTAAGATCACTTTGGGCTATTCGTGACTGGAATTTGTGGACATTATATACACCATGCGCTATCCTTGCTCTCTGATTGTCAGATTGTTGCCCTAAGATTCGGTTGTGAGCTGCCACAATTTCTCTTATGTTCGCTTTTGTGCCTAAAGCAAAGCATGTACCTCCACATTGCCTTTGTGTGATCATGCAGGCAGACGTTGACTTGGGGATTCTGACAGCGATGGGATACTCGAAACGGCATGCACAAGAAGCCCTGGAAGAAAATGATAATGATGTTGCGGCTGCAGCCAATTGGCTTGTTATGAACTGTTCGTGACGTGCTAGGCCCGAAACTGGCTCTTTGCATCTTTGCAGGCCTGCATGGAACATGCATTTAATGGCGTCATTGGTGAAAAGATGTACACATATATATGTGTGTGGACTTTTTTTTTAATTTTGTTTCCTGATTGTCCCCTTTGGGGAGCAGGTGTCCACCAATCTTTCAGGTAATGTCCCGCCTGGACCCACGCATCTAGCACTGTCGATGATCAGCCACTATTCACCTTTCCATCCCTATTTTGCCATCTTTGCTCTCCAGTCACCATGCCCCCCTTGCAGGGTTTTGTCGGCCTATCTGAGGGGCATGTATATGTGAGTACGTGGAGACAGTGATGTGTGTGTGTGTGTGTGTGTGTGTGTGTGTGTGTGTGTGTGTGTGGTTGGAGCGCAGATAGTGTGGTCACGTACAACAGTTGAGCTGTTGTGAAACATGCTTTGCAGCAACATTCATATTCAATATGTTCTCTATCGAACATAATGATGCAACAATCAACAGCAACAGCAACATGCAACAATGTTCAATACATTCTGACCCTAAAGGGTGATAGGACTACTTTGGGCTTCGCCAGAAGCCTTCAAGCAAGCTGAACAGCATTGAGTGCAAATGGACTCAGGCTAGTGGTTCCGTCGTCTTGTTCTGGTAATAGAAGTGTGTGTTTCCTGTCCAAGATCGCCATGCTAGGCATTCGGATGCAAACCGTTCCATGAGGTGTGAATGTGAGCGCTTCAGGCTGCAATAATAAGCATAAGTTGTCACCAACAATCACCTGTCAACAAATTGCGTGTGTTCTGGGGTAGTTCTGACCTGATTGTCACTGCCCGTGTTGAAAGTTTGTGTCGCGTTAGTAACTAATAAACAGTCTTGGGAAATACGGATTTAGTAGCCACATGATGGCCAGAGAAGCAGTGTGAAAAATTACACGTGTTCTTATTGTTTTTTACCTGCCCAGAAATATGCCCAAAGCAGGGCAAATTTTACAGTAATGGCATGCTTTTCAACAGGTTTGTGTGATGAAAGGCGTCCATCCAACGTGGCATAGACAGTGGCTCTGCTTTCACGTGCGAGCAAGGTTGAGAACGTGTTCGCGCTGCCTCCTATGTGGTTAGCCTCATGTTCACGTTTGCGATCTGATCCCCAACGCGTTCGTGGCTTTGCTTCAGACGGACTAAGCCCGCTGCCCTCCTTGGACCTTGGTGCACACCTTCAGTTGCGCAGTTCTGCAGGCACATGGTCTCCCACACGGGGACTGATACCTTCCAGCACCGCACGGCTCCCCATGCCCACATATGGCTGCCAGATGGCCACACGGGCGTTCATCGACACCAGTCGCAAAATCGGCACAAAGCAAACACATACCTGTTGGGCTGTTGCATCCGTGCAGTGCTTCTCCAGCTGAGTTGACAACCTCCGGCTTCTTAACTCCCTTCTCGCCGTATCCATCCGGCCAAATACCTATCCAGCTTCCCAAGTGCTGTGATTTGTACCTGCAGGGGCGGTGGGGGTGGGGGGGGAGTGGGGGGACGCCTTGGGTTGCAGCCATCAAACTACCGTATTGCGTGGCGCTAAGAAAATTGTGCTGAAATGTCTCTTTAAATTACTAGTATCTGGAGTTGGCCACAAAGCGCGCACTGTTGCCAATTCAGGATAAATCAGGATAAATTGTGGAGCCTGACAATAGCACCAGCCAACCATCCCAAGCGTTCAATCTTGAAAAGAACACAAATGTCTCGATTGGCAACCTCCTTCGCCTGTCAACAATTCAAACACTCTTTTTCCAACCCTTGGTAGCACACCTTGTGCACACTCAAACAGATTTTCCAGTGCGGAGCACACCCGCACGTGCCCAGGCAGGCCGGTGCGTACCGTTTCAATCGATCCCAGTCTGTAACAGCGAACACCGATTACCGGAACTTCTATGTACTTCAAAACACCTGATCAACGGGGCCGTGCTCGAAACGTTGGCGTCCCTTCAGGCCGCCGACCGCCATCGTCTGTTCCTTGAGGCGTTGTTGATGTGCAGAACCACAGACGAGAGGGGGGGGAGGAGCACCAGACCGCCATCAAATGCTGGCGCAAGCAATGCCGCAAGCCGTCTCCTGCACAGGTGGGCGCATCCCTCCTCATCCCCCCCGGCCCCAAGATCGGCGCCCGCTCTCCCAGCCGCGCTGCCAGCGCACCGGCGCGCCAGTCCGGCTCGCTGGCGCCCGCCCGGGCGCCCTCGCGTCCGCCTATCGATCGCACCGCCGCCCAGCGAATCCCAGGACTGGCACGCCCGCCCAGGTACCCCACAGTTCGCCCCAATCCCCCAATTGCCGTATTGATTGCCCGCGTCTCCCTCCCTGCCCGTCGCTGATTCCCTAGCGCCCGTCCTGGGCGCAGGGTGGACAAGGCCGAGCCATGATCGGCGCAAGTCACCCGCGGTGAGGCGCAGGAAATCTGGCCCTTCATGCCACCCCTCCCAAAGAGGAAGACCCCCCCAGACACTCGCCGGCTGCCGATTGATCCATCTGTGGCGCGGCGCGGGGGATGCCCCCGGTGGTGACGAGTCTTGAGGCCTTCAGCTCGAGCGGGTTGTGGGGCTCGCTGCTGCGCGGCGCCAGCAGGCTGTGGCCGATCGCCGCCGTCGTGGACGAGGCGTCGCGTCTGATGTGCCTAGCGGCGCGGGGCGTGGGCGCGCCGGACGGGTGCGCACCTGCGGGGCCGCCGGGCTCGGCGGCGGAGGACAAGGGAGCCGCCAAGGCGCCGGCCGCCTCCAGACGGGTACGCGCCCCCTTGGGGGTTGCGAAAAGTTTTGATACCTTGGGATTTGGGGAGAACGGTTGATGCCCCGTGAGGGGAAGATGGTTGAATGCAGGCAGCAATCCAGGGGCATTGGCGGCCGATGGCCATCGATCAACGGCGCTCTGGTGCAGCAACACCACTTGGCTGCTGGCTGCATGGGGCGGGCTGATCTACTCCCATAAATGACGCAACTGCACTGGCTTGTGTGATGGGGCCCATTGGGGTTGAGATGGCTGGCTCTGGTTCTTGCCAGTGCTGGAGAATTTTGATTCACACTGACCTTGAGCTTGAAAGGGTGCAACAAGTCATGTGTACCATAACCTGTGCTCGTAGTCTGTGTTGTGTGACATAAGAATGGCTGTGAAGGAAACATCAAAATTCTTACATCCCACACCACCTTGTTGCACTGACCTTTCATTGTGTGGCATGGTCACATTAATTGTGGCAATGAATCCAATTAACCAGGGCAAGGTGATGAATGGTTCTGAGCGAAATTGTGGCAATTTGTTTGATCTTCATGGGCAACTCAAGTACTGTTAAGAAGAAATAGTAAGGTTTTACAAACACCAAAAAATCCACACCAGTGACCTGAAGAAAGCCATCAGTTCTTAGTCGCTGCCATTCGATTTGTGCAGGTGGAATGCTTTCAGCAGTTCAGTGTTCGGCTTTGGAACATTGCCACCTTCCAAGTTGTAGGGACCCTGTGTTCTGCCCTCTGCAGACGAATCCAATCCAGTGAAACTTGGTTTGGTTTGAGTATTCCAGCAGATGGAAGCAGAATGCAGGTGCATTCCTGCAAGTCTGGTGGGCGTAGAATGCTGACAGATTGCCATAATTTGTGTCAAATGTAGGGTATTACAAATGTCAAGGAACCTATAACATTTTCTAGTCATATGTGTTTCAAACAGGAACATGTGCTCCAGGGACACACCAAACACGTCCACTTGTACTGTGGAACCTGTTGGGCTTCTGAAAGAGCAACAACATAGCCAGCTCCTTGTTCGCTGGATTGCAGTGCCCTCCATTTAATGTCGCATCGGACGTTTTGGAATTGACAGTGGTTTTGTGAGCTTTTGGCGCATGCCAGTGCCGTTGTCACAGATTTACCAATGTCCTCAACCACCGTTTGCCGTACTCACTGCCAGTGTGGGGTGCTTTGGCCAATGCACATTTCCACGCTGGAGCAACAGCAAGTAGAAGCCATTCTTCACGTGAGTCACAGCCTATTTGAGCCCATCTTTTAACAGAAGAGAAACCTTTTTGCACTGGCAGCACCTATCTGAGAGTAAATTTAGTCTCCACCCATGAATCCATCAAGATTGCCTTATTCATCTGGGGCTTAGGTGCAGAGGGCTCCTCACATGTGATGGCAGGTGTGGGACAGCTATCGCAACTTTTCCACCCAGAGCCCCCTGCCCCCTGACACTGCCTACGGCCATCCAGCAGAGTTGGGGATGGACAAGGTGGAGTTGAATTGGCGGATTGTCTCCCTTGCATCCAAGACGCTGCATGAGATCCGGGCGCGCCCAGGCGATGACGTGGCCCTGCTGGACCTCATGGTGGTGGACTTTCAGGGCCTCCTGCTTGCACACAGACACACAGTGAGTGGGGTAAACGTGGCAACCATGGTGCACCGGATGGGGCGGATCTGTTCCAAGGAGCATTTGAAACGAAGGGCGATGGAGGCGCACTCTGGCTTCTTAGGACGTCTGCTTTCGCTGGTGTACTTGAAAAGCACTGAGCTGCGCTCACAGAACATAAGCAACGTGGTCTGGGGCCTGGGCAAGCTGGGGGCCAGGCTGAGGGGGCTGCCAGAAATGGCATCCCTTGACATGGTGCTGCAGGAGTTGTCCAGCCGCGCGGCAGACCAGATTAACGACTTCAGGCCACAGAATCTGTCCAACCTCGTAACTGGGCTGGCTCACCTGGAGGACAGCCACAGCCAGAAGCTCTTGGCAGTGATCGCCCGTGCCACAAAACCCCAGATTGATTCTTTCAAGAACCAAGAGATCGTGAATCTGCTGTGGGGGCTGTCCAAGCTGGGCTACCTCGACGTGGAGGGGCTTTTTCCCACTGCCATCGACAGTGTGCGTGGCAGGCTTGCGACCCTCAAGCCACAGGAGCTGTCCTCATTCCTGTGGGCACTTGCCGCCATGGGGCACACAGAGTGTGCAGACGTCGTGACAGAAGTGTTGCAGCAGATAGTCCCAGAGGACGGGGCCCGACCGTTGGGCCCCCAAGCACTGTCATGCCTGATGTGGAGCGCCAGTGCCATGAAGTTCCGGCCACAGGATAAGGAAGTCAGGGAGCTGCTGGGCCAGGCCTCCTCCAGCCTAGAGAATTTCACTCCCCAGAATGTGTTCATGTGCCTGTATGCAGCAGCAGAGTTCCACTGCAATATCCCTGCTTTTGCACAAGCTGCAAAGGCATACTTCATGAAACATTGGCGTCGGCTCAGTCCCCAAGACATCATGAACTGCATACACAGTCTGATGGTGCTGGACGACTTGGATTTGCGGACGCTGCTGCAGGCAGTGAACTATGCAGAAATGTGGCCAGGGCATCTTAACGAGCGCGACAAACGGCAACTATATCAGTGCATCTTGCATTTTCGGCTGTTCTACCCAGAAGTCAGTACAGAAAGGCTGATGTCGCAACGGCTGGAAGAAGAATGCCGCATGCTGTGGGAGGGGCGCCAGAAGACATCGCCCGTGCCCAGGTTGGTGGCGCTTCTTGAGTTCAGAACTCGCTATGGGTTCGTCAGGTCCCCCCCCACCCCGTCAGAAAGAATTTGAGCCCTTTGTCATCACTCGACCATGCCATGCCCTGTAAGGATCCCAAGCGATTGATATTATGGTCTTCAGTGTAAGGAATGCGGAGCAGTCCAGTTCATCGTTCTCGGAAAGGGGGAGGGCTGGCAGATGATACTTGAGGGCTGCGTGTGATGCTGTCATGGTTCTTTGTGGAGTGTTGCTTGTGCTGTCGTTGCTTTGAATGGATTGCACTGCGAAGGCTGCCATTGTTTGTGGGAGGGTGACAAGTCGTTCTGAAGGTATCACCCTCATGAGTGTCATATCACCCTCCCTCTGTGGTCGGCCCAGGCCAGCTGTGTCCACATCCATGTGCCTGGGCGGCGCTCGGCACACCCTCCATCAGTCATGAACACCATTGTCTTGACAGGCCATCCAATGTTCTGGCAAATGCGGCAGCACAGATTGAGTGATGACGCTTAGGCCAGTGAAATTCGCAATCGGGCTGTTCCCACAGGTTCGTGTTGGACGCTCTGGTGGTGCTGGAGCACGCAGGGAATGTGTGCAGCAGCCGGCAGGTGGTGGCGGGCGTTGTCAACACGTCCACAGTCCAGCTGCCCAACGGGCGGCGCTTCGCAGTCGAGGGCATATACATACCCAGGGGCTTCAAGAACACCGGGGCGCTGAACGGACGGTACTTGTGGAAGGAGAGGGTGCTGGAGCGTTTGGGCTGGCCAGTGGCGCGGCTGCACATGGAGGCGTGGTCCGAGCTGACCTCCCAGAACGACAAACTGCGCTTTCTTGGGGAAATAATGGTGGCCGCAGTGCAGAGGATGGCAAGGAACGCACGGAACTTGGGGCGGGGGGCGGGCTCTGGGGAGAGGGGACATGGGCGAACGAATTCGTAGTTGAGGGCGAGTTTGCAGGCAGGTTGAGAAGTCGGATGGCTCCATGGCGCGTCACACGGCAACCCCCTTGGCTTGGTGCAGTGGACTTGAATGGGCAACCGTCGCTGAATGCCTCAGACACCGCTGTTCGGGGAGCGCGACCACGTCCCTTCGCTATACCCCATGCTTCACAGACAACCAATTATTGGTTATCCTATTATAGGATAAGGTGCCGCCAGTCATTGCCAGTTCCTTGCACATTTCGCACACCTCTTTCCTGTCACAAATTCCCAATAATCATGCACCTGCGGAATAAAGCCTATTCAGACGGAGGCAAATCCTGTAATCCTGATCGCACTTCCAAAACGCCGAACTTGGCGCCATTTCCCGTCACCGATTTTCAAGTGCAAACAACTTCAGCAAACCGTTTTGAGTGCGGTCGGCACCATTCACGCTAATAGCCGCGTGTCGCGCAAGCAGATGCATGTTAGGGACGCTTTTGAACTGATCGCGCAACTGCTGCTCATGCAATTGCGCTGAACCGACTTGAGCAGGGCAGTGGCTGCACACTTTGCAAGGGAAGGCACTACCTGAATTGGATTCCAAGACTAGGGGCACTGTGCGCCTGACAGAAACTGGGAAGGGCATGAAGCCAAGACACTGTGTGATTGTGCAAGAAGGAACACAAGCAACGAAGGGGCGAGGAAGGCTTTCGCCTGCGCCTCTGCCCCGCAAGGAGTTGAACACGCACTTTGTTCTCGTTTAAGGAAGTTTTGTCCAATAGGCGCACCAACCAGGGCGAGTCTGGCGGCTGGCTGCTTCTAGGGCGCCAAGCTCCGGGATATGCCGGCTATTGGAGATCAGCACATCTGCACTGCGCGATTGCCCACCCATCCAGTCCCAAATTGATGATCGGCGCATGGTGGGAAACATGGGTCATGTGCATCGGGGAAGCCAACTCATTGCTTTGTTATGTATGATGATGATGAAGCGGCGAGGATCAGCAGGGGGTGGGGACAGGAGCGATCATGAATTGTTATGAACAACGCCTGGTGCGGTAGCACAGCCACTGTCTCTGTGCGATCGCAGTGCCAATAACCATAGGCGCCGTGACGGTGCGAAATGAGGACCTTGCAGTCTTGCAGGAGAGTTCATGGATTCTTGTGCAGCTCGGGGAACTGGATGAACCTGGGGGTGCATGCTGCGAGGACCGCTCAGGGCACGGAGCTCGATTCTCTCCGAGTGCGACACCAAAAGGTGTATTGCAGCAAGCCCTATTGTCCTTCTCGGCGACAACAGGCCTTGCAGCGATACACCTTCCGATGTCGCACTCGGAGAGAATCTCCCATTGCTGCCAGAAATTTTGATTTATACTGTAGTTGTGTGCATTTGCTGCACGTCGATGACCGTAGGGGCACTATGTCAAGGATTGACACCGAGAAGCCTCTCTGTGCCAATCTTTGCTGCTGCCGTTCCTGAGATGCAGCACATGGCACACACCCTAGGGTTGGAGGGTGTGACCATGGACAGGGTCTTCCACCCCGGTTTGCGTTGTTCATTATGCATGCCCAAATCAAAACAGCAATTTCAGTTCAGGTTGCGTGTGTTTCTGCATTGGTACACTGTATCCTTGTGGCTGTAGCCCGGAGTTATCGTCAACACTCTCTCAATAGTGAGAGCTAAAAAGAGGTTTTTGTGTTTTTAGTGTGATGCCACTTGGCGCCTTGCAGAGTGCACTGCAGGCATGTTTTTATTATTCGGTCGGGCTTTGGGGTCAAGGCGCGGCATTGGCTGAGCTCTACCGTTACCTCATTGCCATCAACTTCAAGGCATCGATCTCTTGATTGAGCTCGAATTTGAAACAGGGAGGCAGAACATGCCTGGGGGCGACTGGGAAATTTCTTAAATGAAGACGCGAGCTTTCCTGAAATATAATTAACTATCCTGTTAATGAGTTTCTGCCTAGGACGACGATGGGTGGGCGCGGATCGGCCAGTCTGGGCCGTTCCGTGTCTTTGGCCAGTTTTGGGGGCCATCACTAGGCTGGTTTCTGTCACCCCTGTACTCGGGGTCAGTTCTGTCCGGCAGATCCAAGGGCAGTTGGGTTGAGCCTTGTACCTTGGACGCAGCCAAGGGGACCGGTCAAGCTGGGCCTTGGGTTTGGCGGGGAGTTTGGCGGCAAGTGGGAGCGGCTATTTTAGGCGCGACCCTTGGCGCCCCCCTTTATCTTGTTTCGCTTCGCGCCAACCTTGGCACAACCCGGAAGCACCGAGTGGTTCGACTCTCCGGCCTCCGCGCCGAGTCCTTCCTGTATAAACCCCAGCCCTGCCGAACAGTGGCTGCAGGCCCAGGCGCTTCGTTTCAACCAGCGCCTCCCTGACCGACCCATAGAGCTCACGTGGGTTTCCGACCCCCGCTTACTCCCGCGGTCAGTCAACAACCGAGTCGCCAGGCCTGACTTCACGTCTTTCCTGGCCTGGTTCGACGTATGGGAGACTGGCCAGGGCCAAACCGTCGCCGCGGCCTTGGGACCCAACTCCGGCTACTTCCAGGAGTACGCAAGCTGGGCTCCATGGGTCGCGTGGCAGTTCGACTACATGGCGGCCTTCGTGGACCTGGTCACCCATCCGAGCCTCCCGCCTTCGATCCGCGACCTCCTTCTCCCGTACGTCTACGCCTCGGTGGCCATTACCGAGAGGCAGGTCGACCAGCTGCGCCTTCATCAAGTGCACGCGAAGCATCGTGGCACGGGGCTCGAGGGATTCTGGCGGGCGTTGCAAGCCCAAATCCGCCTCAGCGAGCCCGAAGGCGGTTTCACCACCGAGATCATCGACGGCACCCTCGGCGCCATCCGCAAGGAGCTTTTGACCCAAGAGGTCAAGCTTGCGACCAAGGCGGCCGCGGCCAGCCGAGCATCCAAGGCGGGGAGCGGCGATCCTCCTCCCCATTCGAGTGGCCAGTCGGGGAAGCGAGGAAAGGGGCGCAATCCCCCTCAAGCGGCGCGTCCATCTCCGGACGCGTGACCGACTTCCCGTATAATCGCACCCGCAGCCGGCTCTCAGCATGGCGGAGGATTGGAGCGCCGTCGCACGTTCTACATTGGATCCATTCGGGCGTTCCGCTGCCTTGGGGCCCGCAGGGCCCTCCCCCGCCCTTTGACCTGGGCGAGTACCCAATCCGTTTGGCGGAGGAGCAAGCGGGTTGGGCGGCGCTCCGAGAGGAGTACTTGGCTATGGGGGCGATCGTCAAGGTAGATCCCGGCCCTCAATCGCGCATTTCGCGTGCCTTTTGGGTAGCAAAAGAGCGGGAGGATGGTGTGATGAAATACCGTCTGTGCGTCGATTTATGACGCGTTAATCGCCATCTCCGAAAAATGGGATTGAGATATGAACGGCTTCGGGATTTTGGTCATTTTTTTAAAAAGGGGGATTTTTGAGTCGGGTTTGATATCAAGGACGCATACACCATTTGCGTATGCGACTAGCTGATGAATGTTTTCTTCAATTCAGAATGGGAGGTAAAGTGTTCGCATATCGGGCGCTGCCTTTTGGGCTCTCTTTGGCTCCTTATTTTTTCACTCATTTGATGCTCGTTGTCGCACGTTTTCTCTGATCACCCCGATCGTGTGCCAAGGCGGCGCAGCGGTTTCGTTTCGGCTGTCTAGCGGGAAATGACTCGATCCAGCGCTATTTTCTGCGCTATTCCATCGCCGATCCCGCTGTGATCTTGGCTTATTTGGATGACTTTCTTGCCCCTATGAGTGATCCGGACCAACTCCGAGAATGGTCCAGTTTGGTGAGGGAGATTTTCCGGGCGTTGGGGCTTCGCTTCAAGGACTGGAAATGTCAGTGGGATCCGGTCCAACGCAAGCGGCATCTGGGGATTGTGATCGACACTCGAACTTGTCGTTTTTCTGTTCCGATGGACAAAGCGGCCTCCATTGCCGCCCGGGCCCAAGTTCTTAGGGAACGGCGCTGGGTGGTGGCTCGGGATTTGGCCCGGTTTTGCGGGCAGGCCATCTCCCTTTATTTGGCCTTCCCTTTGGCTCGGTTTTTCTTGCAAGGTCTTTATGGGGTCCTCCGCACCAAGCGGTCTTGGTGGGATCGCCTCCGTTTGTCGCCCCAGGCGTGCCTCGATCTGGAGGCTTGGATCAATATTGATCGGTGTGAGGGTCGCCCGCTGAATCCGGACGCGATCCCCTTTGCGGGCACCCTCGCAACGGATGCCTCTTTGCGGGGCTGGGGCGCTACTTTCACGCCCCCCCCTTCTGATCGACCGCAACTGGCGCGGGGTTTTTTCGATCGATCTTTGACGCACATCAATGTGCGTGAACTGCAGGCGGTGGCCCTGGCCATTCGGGCGTTTTTTCCGCTCGATTTCCCCTCGATCTCGGCCAGGCTGCGCCTGCTAGTGGATTCGCAGGTCGTCCTTTTTTGCATCCACAGCATGACGACCAATTCCGACCAGCTCCGGGGGCCCCTCCGCCAACTGCAGCGGATCTGTTCGGCCCGCGTCCTCTTGATCGATCCGGAGTACATCCCGTCCAAGCTCAATACGATTCCAGACCGCCTCTCGCGGGTCACGGATGGGGAGGACTACCGCCTGCACCCGGCCATTTTCCAAGCCATTACACAGCAATTCGGACCCCGGACGATCGACCGTTTCACTTCCCAACGGAATTCCCTCTGCCCCAAGTTCAATTCGCGGCATCACGAGCCGCTTTCGGCGGGAGTGGATGCATTCCTCCAAGACTGGCCGGGCGAAGCCAATTGGGCTAACCCGCCCTGGTCGCTCCTTCCGCGCCTCACAGCGTTTCTGACGGCGCACTCGGAGGTGGAAGCAGTCGTCCTTGCTCCGGACTGGCCGTCGGCGATGTGGTTCCTGCGGCTGAGGCGGCTGGCCATGCGGGAGATGGCCATTCCTCGCCAGGCAGGAATGTTCACGCCGGGGGATCCGTCTCTCCCGGCCGATCTGCCTCCCCCTCGGTGGAATCTGTGGGCCTTCCACATTCGCCCGCGTCC